GCACACCTACAGGCTGGGGAACTCCCTTCTTGTCAGTGCAGAGGCAGAAAAGGATCTTGGAGTCATTATTGATGCCAAAATGAACATGGGCCGACAGTGTGGGGACGCAGTCAGGAAGGCCAACCACACCTTGTCATGCATCCACAGATGCATCTCGAGCAGGTCCAGGGAGGTGATCCTCCCCCTCTATGCGACACTGGTCAGGCCGCAGCTGGAGTACTACGTCCAGTTCTGGGCACTGCACTTCAGGATAGATGTGGACAGCATTGAGAGGGTCCAGAGGAGGGCCACCAGCATGATCGGGGGCAGCAGGGCAGGCCCTACGAGGAGAGGCTATGGGACCTGAACCTGTTCAGCCTTCACAAGAGAAGGCTGAGGGGGGATCCAGTGGCCTGTTACAAACTAGTCAGAGGGGACCAGCAGGCACTGGGGGAGTCCCTGTTCCCCCGAGCACTCCCAGGAGTGACTAGAAATAACAGTCACAAGCTGGCAGAGGGTAGATTCAGACTAGACATCAGGAGGAACTACTTCACAGTCAGGGCGGCAAGGACCTGGAACCAACTTCCAAGCAAAGTGGTGCTGGCTCCTACCCTGGGTGTCTTTGAGAGGAAGCTAGATGAACACCTTGCTGCGGTCGTTTGACCCCAGAGCTCTTTCCTGCCATGGCAGGGGGTCGGACTAGATGATCTGTCAAGGTCCCTTCCGACCCTACAAACTATGAAACTACGTGTATAACTTGCACTGAAAAACAGGCCTGAAAGGCCCAGTCTGCATGGGAAGGAGGTGGGGAGAGAACAGGGAACATTGGGACTCAGCACCATAACTAGACTCCTGGCGAACCCGGGCGAACTTTTAGTATCGGGCCCCCTTTCTGTCTGGGCCCCGGGCAGACACCCAGTTTGCCCATGCCTGCATCCGGCCCTGTTGGGACTGGCCCTTCAGAGATACTTTTTGCCATTGCTTCAGGTTCCCTCATCTTCCAACTCTCCAAAGTTTGCTTGGAGCTGAAGGTTCCAGTTTAGTCTCGTTTCTATCTTGCAACAAGAGGTGGCCTGTATCTTCCTCTGGAGCAGTGTTAAGTGGTGCAACATGCTATATTGTCACCTAGTAGCATAACTAGGTGGGGAGGGAGACAACTGGGGCAGCATCCTGGATGCTGACTTGTGGAGGGGGGAGCAAAACTAGTAGTTGTTGCAGCTGCCTGCTGGCCACTGCCCCACGTGCTGCTGGCTCTCACAGGGCACAGACCTGCCCTGTTATACCTCCGTTGTTACCCTTTGTTCCTGCTGCAGGTATGTAGGTTGTGAAGAGACCTGAGAAACATTTCTGTAGTGAATAGTAAATTCATCAAGAGAGACAACTCAACACAGTGCTCCAGCTGTGGCCTGACCAGTGCCGCATAGAGGGGGAGGATCACCTCCCTGGACCTGCTCGAGATGCATCTGTGGATGCATGACAAGGTGTGGTTGGCCTTCCTGACCGCGTCCCCACATTGGCAGCCCATGTTCATTTTGGCTTCAATAACGACTCCAAGATCCGTTTCTGCCTCTGCACTGACGAGAAGGGAGTTCCCCAGACTGTAGGTGTGTTGCTGGTTCTTCCTCCCCAGGTGCAGCACCTTGCACTTGTCCGCAGCAAAAGTTATTTGCTGATTTGTATCAAATGTCACAAATGGTTTAGCCTGAAAAAACTGGGGCAAAATTTTGATATTTTCCACACCAGACATTTCAACATTGTGTTTGAGATGTGCTTTTGCTTGAAACTTGACTTGAATTTTAAAAAGGGAATACAAAACGTTAAATATTCCAACGACAAAACATTTAACTCAGGTTAACCTGAAGCAATTTCCCTCCCTAACTTTTTGGGTAAGTCAGCCTCCAAACTGAAAATCCATTATGTCCACAGCTCAAATTGTAAATCACCTGGAACGTTTTGGCTTGACAGGTGCTGTGTATATATAAGACAGAACAAAGAGTGACAGCATAACTCACACTGCCAGAAACCGACAATGTGCAGGCAGGAAGAGGGTTGGGAGACACGAATCTAAAGCAAGTTTTATTCAAAATTTCCATGCAAAATGATGGGTTTTTTCCCCTAATAGCCCACCAAAAAACAAAACAAAAAACCAATTTGTTTCCAGCCAGCTCAGCCTCTGGCCAAAAAACACAAAGCAACAAATTACAATCCCTTCCCTACTAACCAAGACTTTCAAACCTTTTATGATTTCCTTCAAGACACTTAAAATGATAGGACACAGGCATAGGGCAGTTCTTACCAGCAGGGCAGAGAGAGTGAGCAGTAATGGGCAGCATCACTGAGATGAATATACACAACCCTGAAGCAAAGCTCCAGCTCCCTGACTGAACAATCCAGGTAACCTTGATTTGCAACATGCTAGCAAATGCCCACCCACTGTTTTCACTGTAAATGGGAAATGTCATGGAGGAAGCCTTCACAAAAGCTACTAACATCTTCCTCTTTCCTCTGTTTGCAGACATGTTTTCAAATCCTGTCTAAGCCCTTCTGCATTGCAGATTGCTACCTGAGACTGCTGCGTCCGGTGTTCCAGTGCTATCACCAGAGTACTATCTGGAGCTGTGTCCTTGCTCAGGATCCACTATCAATTCCCCTGCAATGCAATTAATGGGATTCACCCTATCCCCTCCCTGAGCCAAATTCTGCTCTCCTGTACATCGCTGCAAGCCCCTTCAGTCCGATGGAGCTGTTCTGCATTTACAGGGATGTAACTGAAGGTGGACTGTGGCCCCATGTTATCTGTGCAGTCAGATATTAACTTAATGTATGCTATTTTCTGCGGTTGGTTCCTCTTTGCACTATATATCAATTTACTGAAAGTGAGAGTATCCCTCAAAGCTTCCTGGATCACAGATACATCATTTGGAATATGGCTGGGCAGAGTTTTCATTTTGTCAATTAGGGCAGCAGTGCCAGGTGGGCAAAATTGACTTGCACTTATGTCCATTACTACTGGGGCAAGTTTTGCTTAGTGCCAATTATGTTCCCTGATGGATTTCTTTTGGAGCATTTGGAAATCAGTCCTTGATAGCTTAAAGTGCCTTGCCCTTATTAAACTGCTTTTCTTCCTAGTGGAATCCACTTGCATGTTGATGTGGAGTAGAATGAAACCTTGGTTTAATGCACAGGTGCATGGCAGAGATCTTTGGCTAAATGTTACCAATGTTATCTTCATTTCCAGACTATTATTTCCTTTAGTATTTATTCAGATGATTAGTTTTAACGAGCACCTGGGAGAATCATTCTACAAGCACAAGGGAATGCGTAAATAGGAAAAGGAGAGCTGGCACTGGAAAATTATTGCCTTCAGGTGGGTATCCTCAGGAAGTGCACCTGAAAGTACGTGTCAGGAAGAAGACCAAGTGGAAAGCTGTAATGTATAAGACTTTACCTGCATTTCACACACAGGCTGAGAAAACACATTCTGAAAGAATTCCCAAGAAATCTTGGAAGATGTAAAACGAGAGATTAACACTGGGTCACAATGGGCTGAATTAAGGTATAGACTGCAAGCATCTGTCCTCAAAGTACACCAAAGACTTTATTCCTTGGTATGAAAAATCCCATGGCACTTTGTGTGGTGTCCTTCTCCTCTTGCCTTGGTTCCAGCTTGCACATCACTCCCACTTCCTAGGTTTCTGCTGTGGTTTCAACTAGACCCAGTGTTTTCCTTCTTCCTGACCTGTCATATAGCACATGCAGCTTGGTTAAACAGATGGCACTATGCCCCTGAGTTGGCTGAATCACTCTGAGAAATGATTGCTGAATACCCTGCATCCAGCTTATACAGCAGAGGGAGAATCAAGAGGGGTTAGAGATGCTGTAGAACAGCATGATGCTATTATCTACCTAATTTAAGTGTTCCTCTTTGATTTGATCTCTGTTCCTTTTAGATAATTCAGCATCGTACTTCAGCATCAGTGTCTCCTTCACTTTCTGTGCCTGGAACATATGAAAAGTATTTAAGGTTATATATTAAACAGGGTGCAAAACTTTCCATCACTTGTAGAGCCCATTCTACCCCTGGATCTTCAAGCTGGTAACCCTAGAAGAAAAGCATCATTATCCCAGTGTGCTGATGGGGAAACTGAGGGACAGAGTGGCTGTGTCAAAAGCAAAGGCAGGGCCAAGAAAATAGAAGCAAAATTTTCTTCCTCTTAGGGTATGTGTACATAGTCTAGTCAATAAAAAGAGGACAAGACTTTAACTAAGATGATATGGCTTTACTATGCATCATGGGAGATAGAGCCAAGCCATGATAGTTCAGTTTTAAGTGAAAGACGGCCAAGTTACTACTGATTAGATGCCACTTATCAGTGCGTAAGAGCACACATGGGTAGTTACTGTCCATGAGCTGGCCTCTGCCCCACTTTCATCTCATAGTAATTAGTTCCAGTGCCCATGAAGGGCATCTTACCCCCGGACACACTGGCCTTGCAGTACAGCTGACACGAGAAGGGAGACTGAGGCAGTTAAACACTATTCAAAATGCTCTACAAGATTTAGGGTGGTCTGCACAGAAGAGTTACACTGGGGGCAGCTGAGGATCAGTGCCAGCACCAGTGTGAGCCCTGGTGAGAAGCATGCAGTTGTACTGGGGTCATGTACGTTAAACTGATGAAAACTTTTATGCTCCCCAAGTTAAAATAACCTCTACTGGAGTAACTACCTTCCTACTGGTGTAGCTGTTCTGTAACTGGGCCATAACTGGTATAACTGCCAGTTAGTGGAGTGGCTTTGTACTGTACATCAGGAGAATTAAAGCAGCTCCATTTTTTATTGCAGGCAAGTGCTTAGACAACTGCATGAAGCTGCCCTGGGCTGTCGAGTCAGTGCCATCAGCGCTTCGCATTCCCAATGCTGGAATCAAACCGTGGGCAGTGAGTTCCTACCCCACATCCTCCCTTCCCTGTGCTTAAATCCCTGCTCTCCTTTCTGCAGAGCGGATGGCGTTGCTGCAGCACGGAGCGTCTGGCAGGATTCACTTGTGCAGCTGTCGCCTGTCACACTCCTCCATGCACAGCCCAAGCCTAGCACCTTTGTGACGCGCTGCACCTGCGCTCCAATCAGCCTGCGCTGCCGGAGATGGGAGGCTGCTCCGGAGTGAGCCAGGGGCTCCCACTGCACCGGGCTGCTGCCAAGCAACAGGACTCAGGCAGACATCCTCCTGCTCCCCCTTGATTACAGGTGCTGAAATAAACAAGATCATTCCCACCTGCCCTGCCTTTGTTTCACGCTGATCTCAGGATTAGTGACAGGGGCTTTCAGGACCAGGTCACACAGGTAAAGAACGGGCTGGTGCAATAAAAGGAATGAGTGTTGCCTTGACATTACTGAATTACTGTTTCCTCTTCACATTTGAAAGCAAAAAAAAAAAAAAAGGTGGGGGGAGGCTGAAATCTCACTCCTAGCAGTTCTGGCACTTCCTGAAACCAGAAATGCTTAGAGGAAAGATTTGTGCTGTCTGTACTCCGACCACATGATGCCCAACCCAGAGGGAGTCTATCTTTAGCATCTAAAAAAAGAAACCGTGATGGTTGCTCTGAGAAACAGGTTCTTCTTTCCCCTGCTCCCACTCCCAGTTTTGTACAACGTATCATGTTCCCCAATAGAACAATGACATGCTGCATTTTACAGTGAAGCCCTCCAGGCCCACATCCCAGCAACCAGCAGGCAGAGGAGAGAATCTGTTTGAAAAGAACAAAGGTGATAACAGGCAGGATACGACTGACTCTCAGACTCCATCCCAAATGACAGGGAAAATGCATCTCCCCCTACCAAAACTGGAAATGCACTGGGACAACCTGCATTCAGTTCTTGTGCCTCGCACAGAGTCAGTTGCATGAATTACTGTGTCATTCTACCTTTCCTAGGCAAGCCTTTGGCATCTACTACCCAGGTTGCATTTTGAGAGCTCTTTCATGCGCAGATGCACAATATCTAGTGACGATGGGTCTTGCATTCCATGGATGGTGCAGCACCATCTGGGGCTTAGATTAGGCCATGGTCAAAGGGAAACAGCTGCATTCACCCTTAGTGTAATTCCAGCAAAATACTTGAGCTAAAGAAGGAAAGAATTTGAGGCTTTGTCATTTCCCTAGGAAATGCAAATCATCAGAGCCCAAGCCACGGTCTCTAATTTTTCCATCTTATCAGCTGTCAGTTAGCAGCTACCAGGTCCTGCTGACTTCAGCTGGAGAGGCTGGAATAAAGCTTCCACTTCATTGTCATGTAAAAGAAATAATCATATTCATTGAGGCCAGAAATGAATATGCTTGCCAGCCCAACACTGATTCTCTGCTGACTGAGCAGGAGGACCCCAGGCCAGGTCTCCATGTCATTGATCGCTTATTAAGTGCAAATGATCTAAAGCCCACATCGAGCACTGAGAAAATGGCCTCAGTCCTAAGGAGTTTGCTACCGAAGTGAATACAGGCAATTAAAGGCAGCATAAATCTGCACAATTTTCATGAATGGGACATCCCCTTTGTAGTTAAGAGCAGTTTGTGACTAGAGGGATGGTCATATTAGTCAAGGAGAAGTGTGGGAATTTCCTTTTTTATATTATTTATTTATTATATAAATGAAATATATTATGTTGTTTTATATTATATATATTTACATAGTATATAAAAATATAAAATATAAACTTGGAGATTGGGGGGGGTGTCTGTGTTTTAGAAACTAACAGCAATTTTGAACTAAAACCATTTTGTGTGCAATGAACATTTTCTACATTGTCAAAACCTATGGGTGTGTTCGACAATGCTGCCAGCAGTGTTCCTTGCTGCTATGTAGTTTCCCACTTTGTCACAGACATACAGCATGAGCAACCATTTTGCTGTTAGGCTCTGAAATGCCCTTGTATGTCTAAATTTTAGTGCAAAAGTTTGCTTGCTCCAAAATCTGGTACCAACAGACTCAGTCCTTATTTACGGTCGGTCTGTCTTTACTCCACCCAGACTCTTCCGCGAACTTTATTCAGTCAGGAAAAGCAACCCAACTCCAAACAATGGGGAAAAAAAACCTCAAGTAGATATTTGACTCTAAAAAGATGGGACAACCAGAGACTATGAGCTCAGCAGCTGCTTCACTATTGTTATAATTTATGCACAATTACATCCATCAGACGCTGAAGCAGAATCAAGCCTTCTGATATAGGTATACGTGGGCCGCATTGTTTCTGTCATTTGAGTGGAAGCCCCTACCATGTTTTCCATGTTCAGAGAGGGCAGGGGAGACCTTTAATCTTCTACTTTTATAGCCTTTGTTCAGTCATAGGCACACACCTGTTTTACTGATATGCAAATATCTTTCAAAGTGAAACACCCAAGTGACTTATGCCACCATGCATATGCTTTCTGTTCAGTGATCCAAATAACAAAGAGACACCACTCCCCCAAGGAGACTATGTATCACACACTGTCCCCAGGGCTGCTGGATTACTCATTATGCCCAATTTATGACAAAATTTCTTGCTCTCCCCGTTTTTTTGTTTGCCTTTATTTGGGAGATGATTCTAATTTCCGTGAGGTATTCATCTGCTTTTATCTGGTAAACAGGCTGGGATTACTTAGCAGAACATTTTAGCCAATTGTTGTATATTTTTGTGAAACATCATAGGTAAGATTGTGTCTTGTTCATTGTTCTCCTGCCTAAAGAGGAAAGCAGGGCACGGAGGCCCCTTAGAGACTAGCTGACTGAGAACGGCATAACCTTTCATCGGTGACAATCTACTATGTCAGATGCTACAACTGCTATCCACTCAGCAGTAACAATGGCATGTCTTACATGACCAAGACACATCCTCAAGGCTTAATATAGAGCTAGACCAGCAGATTTTCTAATGAGGTCAAATCTAGTAGCCCCTTCTCACTGCAGAACAAGAGTTAGCTGGCCATGTACTTACAAGAGTTTAGAAATACTATATAACCCTTCCTGGGGTATTATTAACCTTTTGGGTTCCCCCTATTTCCCAAGAGCCAGTGGAAAGAGTTGGACTTTGTCTAGTGTCCTGAAAGCCAACAACTTGGACTGTTTCAACCCAAACAAGACTTCTCACAGAACAGGTCTGAATGTGGCTAAGGAGGAACCTTAAATGTAGGTTTACCACCATCTGGGGAAAACACCTGAACTGCCTGGCTCTTGATTTCTCTGGATTAGGTTTCTCTCCTGCAGGACGCCTTGGTTCCACCTTGTGTACAGATTAGCGAGGATTTTTTACTCTCAGGAAGTTTTACAGAACAGGAAAACCATTTCTACTCTGCTCCCCCACACTCCAGTTTGGTCACCACTCAGGTCATACTTTTTATTGCCATTAAGAGATTATTTTCAAATAGGCCCGTAATGGCAAGAAGAAAATTTCTTCAGTATGAACAGAAGGCAGTTACTGCTGGTGTCACCACACAGTTTAAGCTTCAAAATGATCCCACACAGTATTTTCAGTCTGATCTGACAGGCAACTCATTACTAGTTTGGCACATGCTGGTTGCACGGGCTACAAAACACTGTGAGAAGCAGAACAATGCTTAATGATTGGTTAAAAAGAAAACTGACTGGGTAAACTGAGGCACGAATATTGTGATTTGTCCTCTTAGTGAGACTACACCCACATTGGGACCGAGAATCCCGGTTCCTTGTATTCTGCTTTAAGCACCAGATGTTGCCGTAAAATCCTTGTCTTAGCCAGTAAATACCTGCTGAGCTGGATAAATCACAGCGAGGCATTTAGAAAAACAAACTGGCCCAGTTCCTGCCGCCCATCACACTCGGGCAGGAGCCCAACAGAAAATGACCACAGGTCCTTTGGCCACCTTGCCCATGGCTCCTTTCCCATTGGGAAATACAGAGCATCCAGCTGCACGTGACACCCCCCGCCCACCGCACAGAGGTTACTGAGAGATTGAAAGTCTTTGCCAACATAATCCTCAATATCCTGTTTTGTGCCTGTTCCTAGACAAGATTTTCATAGGCCGAGGGGAAAAAATGGGCTCCTGAGGACCGCAGCAAGGGAACACCCAAGTCTTCATTGCCTGTAAGGAAACAAACCCTCAAGAAAAGACTGGAGTCTGAAAGGAAAAGAGAAACGCAAGAGTCCAAAGGTATACTGAGCAATCGGGGCAAATTCTTCAAGAGCAGGAGCAAGGGGTAAGTTCATGCATTAGCAGCACAGGAGGATACAGAGGAGTGGTTGTCTCAGAGGCAATCTGACTGGAGTCCCAGGCAATGGCCTTTGCTTCGCCCGAGTACAACATACCTGCTCCAAAGCTCTGCCCTCTAAAAGGCAAATTCCTCCACTCTGGCAAGGCTCACTGTCACCAGACACCGGTTCCCTGTGAAGATGAAACTGGGAGTCAACATTTGATAGTTAAAGCAAAGATTTAGATGTCAGGATCTCACCGTTCAGACTCTGGCTGAGCACTGACTTGGGGCTAGTCACAGGCTTTGTGCCTCCATTTACCCAAGCTGCATAACAAAGTTTCCAAAGCTCACCTGTTTCACAGGACATGGAGCTCTGGTCCCTGTTCCCTTATGTAACAACTGTTTTTTTTAAGGATAAGGGATTAAGAAATGCAGAAAGAGGTAGGTTTTAACAAAGACTAGCACTGGATAGAGGGGAAAAACCCACAGATTTGGGATTGTTTATATTAGCTCCATAAACCTCTATGCCACAAAACTACAAATACACACATTGCTTTCACAGAGAGCTCAGGTGCAGTACCTAAGCTTTGTATTGTACTGTAGCTGGAAATTGCAGCTGCTTTGTATTGTACTGTAGCGGGAAATAATATTTTTCAGTATTAAAATTTAATGATGCTACAAAGACCAAGCTAGGGAGGGCTTGCTGTGCATCTGCAATGGACAGAAGCAGCTCCTTTCAAACCAAATTTACTTCTATGAGCTCTCAGATAACTTCAAATAGCACAGGTCCTAGATTACAATGCACCAAGTTCCTTTCTTCTGCCCTCTAGTGCCAGATAGAAATATTTAAAAAGGAATAGACCTCCCTTCCTTTTACAGTGCACTCAGCACGCTGACTAACAAACTGACATTGGTTACTCCTCGATTCTTTCACGGAGAGGTGATTTAAACTGTTGCATGAACTAACGCTATATCAGATGTGGCCACGGGGAATTCAGACACGATTCAAGGCTGCTGATCCAGACTCTAGGTCAGAGCAGGTCCAGTAGACCCAACAGTTATGTCAATTGGCCTTCCCTTTCCATTCCTGGTTCAGGGGGCACTGCCAACACAATAACCCCTACTCCCTTGCTCCTTCTGGGTGTACCAAAGACTGGCAATTATGTTGAGTGGCCCAGAGTTTGCACCTCTGAGGTGACACTCAGGCTCTTTGTCTTGGCAAAGCATAAGCACAGGGCCAGGATGGGGAAAGCAGCTCCTAAGTGATCTACTCCCAGGGTTGGGAGGGAAGCCGTACAGTGTTTATTCCTAGGGTGCTTAGAAGATGAAGCCACTGCTCTTCAGTGCTAGCTACAATGCTCAGCTCGAGCACAGGAAGTAACAAAGGCAAGACAGACCTGTGAATACCAGGGATGCCTTGACAGGGGTTCTTTGGTTAGCTGGGGAATGGCACTGAAAGTCACTAGGTCCCTTTGGTTGAACTGGACCCAGTCGTGGTGGCCAGAGTGGAACAATTCTTCACTGAAAACACACAGGTCTTCTGCCTGAACACACACACCTGCTTTCCCACGATCACCAAGGGTCTCTTGTGAGATGGGGTGAAGAGATCGGGTGGGTAATCTGTTGCAGATGCCATCCCAGCCTTACTGCTCTGTTTAGAAAGGAACAACTGACAAAGTTTTGTGCCAAAATATTTACAGTAGGGAAGTGTTCACTGTTTAACACTCTGCACCTCATTTAATTCACACTTGTTCTTAATCTCCGTCTCTGAACAATACCTCATTCCTCTGAGTCAGACCTGCTAGCCTGATGAGAACTCGCTTGAAAAATGCAACAGGAAAGTTCAGCTGCTCGGTGGGAGACGTGTGCTAATTATTGCACTTCAAAGCTCAGCTTCATTGCTTCAAACCTCCTTGAAGATCTGATTCAAATCATGCAAAAAATATTCTGGCACATTTGGATGCAACAACAACAAAGGCAGCTTTGGATCCCTAAAAATGGCCGTTATATATAGACCCCAACTTGTAGCATATCTTAAAGACAAGGAAATTACATCCATTTAGCAAAGAACTTCAGTCACATTTCAAGATCTCAATCTGATCTTCATTTCCTCTATCTGTGTGCTACATACTGCCCATGAAGTTTCCAAGGTTACATTGATGCTTGTCAAGAGCATCTAGATCACTGAACTGAAGATGCTAATCATCATTAATCAAATGATTCTGTGTGTTTTGGTCTTTAAGTGAGTGTGAATTTTGAAATCACTTGTTCAGGCAGCTGTTGGAGTAATTGGGGCATCCCAACTGTGCACTCAGCTGTGGAAAGGTTTCAGCCACCTAGAACAATGCATGCTGGTAGGAAAGGGAAAAAAGGCAATACTGAGTTAATCAAACAAAGTCCTCGTGATATACCCCCAGGGCAATGCAGATCCCATATCTGTTAAAGAGGAGCGTGGGACCAGAAATCCGTGGGTAAATTGGTGTGTTGGCATTTAAGCTTAGTCAGGGAACAAAATAATAAATAAGGATGGAGCTATTTTATTTCATGTTTGGTATCTTTAAGGGGAACTCTGGGGGGAATGGATGGCAGAGAGATTCCCAGAGGTGGGGAGGACATGGGCAGCAGGCCTCAGAGCAAAGGCATATCATTATGGCCTCTTCAAGAGAAAAATAGAGGACATAAAAGTGTTGGGTTTCATATCAATAGAGGACAGAGTAGCAGCAAACTGCAACGTCCTCTATGATGGCCACCCTACCCTGATGGGACCCCAAAACAGTATCTGATCCAGCTTCACTGAACTCTGTTTGCAATGAAATAGTCAAGCAAACATTAAACAAGCTAGCTTAGGTATTGGTAGCAGTGGAAACCAATTCCAGCCGATTGCTTGAGTATTTACCCAGCTTCTCTGAGAAGATTGGCACTGTTGGTGAGTTCCACGCTGCAACAGTCCAGCAGTGGTTGGCATCTGAGCAAGCTCGAGAGGGTAACACCACATGGCACAGCAGGGATGACATTCCCCAAGTTGAAAGAAGGCCCAGCATGAATGGGACTTTCAGCATCTCCGGGCAGTAGTGAGCACCGAGTCCAGCCCATCATAGAACAGGCATGTTCTTGACAAGCTTCTCAATAGAAACTGTGGCCAACTGTGTTCTGGCATGTTTTTGGCTTGGTTTAATTTTCCCCTTGCACTGAGATGCTGTCTAGTGAATCCTCTTCTCTGAGCTTGCCGGGGGACCAGAGATTTTGAATATGACCCTTGTCCACTGCAAATTATGGCTCTTGATGACCTCTCAGCATGGCTCTGGCTGGCTGGTAGCATGCTGGGAGGATTATTTCCCAGATGGTGCTCCTGTTTCAGGCCTGTGGAAGTACAGTAGAAATGCTGCCAGTACTGCATGCTGTGTGTCATGTAAGGTGGAGGCTGTTATCACTCCTGGTATATATGAGCAGGTAAGTGGCTTCCAGTGCAAAAGAAGTGTGAAGGGCAAGAATATACCATGTAGAGGCATGTATATTTTTGGAGAGGCATTTAGAAGATAATCAACCCTGCAGTGGGTTAGCTAGCATTCCT